CTTCAACCTCTGCCAATTTTTATCTCATTTTTGTTTAACTTTATACATCAGAGTTTAATTTGAGAGCTGGTCGAGAAGACAGTGATGTATAGGTTATATCAAGTGCAGCTGAAATTACCCTGTCTCTAGGGACTTCGGGCTGTAGGGAGGGTCCCGGTCGTGTTTCAGGGGGTAGAAGAGGAATGGTACAGTTTGCCCCTTGAACCCAGCCTCGCTCCACCCAGCCACCTTCATCGCTGCCTCTCATTTATTTATTTGGCCACATTTAAGGAGCTCAAAAATTGCATCCATCCAGGCTCATGCTTCCTGCCCAGCCTCGGGCTCAAAGCATCGGCTGCTGTGGACAGTGTCATTTTCCGAACCCGAAAAGGAGTTCTATTAGCATTGATTTTTTCCTCTTTGAATTGTTATCTTCATTGGGAAAGTGTGCCCAGTTGGCAGTGTAGTCTGTCTAGACAAAGAGATTGCTGGCTTTGCTTTTCTGAGTGTCCACAGCAGTGCCTGAAATCTGCCCCACAGAGTACTAGCTAAGTAAGACTCACTGTGTAAACACAGGAGTGAGTGAATGAATGAATGAATGAATGAATGAAGAATGAATGCGATGCCCTCTGCTTCCTCGTGGCTCTTCATATTCCAGCTGGCCCCAAGTCTTTCTGAAGAAGGTAAATATAAATAGATGAACTGAGCCACTGACACAAGAACTGGGGAGCTGCTGTCTCCCCCGAAAACTTTTCAAAGGTAGCACATAGACACTTGGGACCAGAAAGGACCTTGTGGTCATCTTGCCCAACGCTATTTTTTTGCATCACTGTTTTCCAAGGCAGCCAGATCATGCGCAGGACCATCTCCATTCAACACCTCCAAGATGTGCCACCCCAGCCATGACCCAGGGCTTAGCATTTTTAAATGTACATTTCCTTCCTAGCACTTATCACAGTTTGAAATTACATCCTTGAGAAATTATTTGATTAAAATCTGTCTCCTCCACTGGACCCTGAGAACATGGATAAGTTCTGTAATTAAATTTCACGAGAAAGGTCTGTTTGTTCGCCTGCATCCTTAGGGATGGCCACAGGGCTTAATGCAGAAGAAGTGCCCAATAAATATTTCTGAGTAAATGAGTATCAAGTAAACTGGGGTGGAGGGGACGCCTGTGATTTGCTAGTATGGAGGTAGGAATAACGGCAACAGTTAAAAAATACCCAGATATGATATGGAAGTCACGTTGTACCTGGTCACCAGGTCTACTGTGAGTTCACCAGCCTGGTAAGGCGGTTAAGAAGGCACTACATGGTGGCTAGACTTTGGAGCTAGGTGAACATGCCAACAATGGCAAAAAAATCGCTTTTGATTCCTTACTTTCGAACTTCATTGTCCTGGACCGTAGCTATGAGCCACGTCTGTGGCTCTTTGGCACTGAAAACATGGCTGTTCTGAATTAAGAAGTATTGTTAAGTATAGAAATCCATGCCCAAAAAGGTTTACATGAAGTAAATGTAAAATATCTCATCAATATTTTTATATCGATGATAAGTTGAAGAAATAGAATTTTGGATAAAACTGGTTACATCAAATTTATTATTAAAATTGATTTCACCTGTTTCAACTGCTTTTTAAAATGTGGTCACAATAACATTTAGAATTACACGGCTTGCATTTGATTCTAGTGCTATTCTAGAGGGAGACCCTTAGGAAAGTTGTCAGTGGGGGAAGAATCTTATATGAATATTCATCAGGGGACAAGAATAGGTAGTGATAAAGTTGCGCCTCTTCTGGGGTGCCCTTAGCTAGGTTCTTCATCATCTAGTACCTTTATCTTGGGGATATCATGCTGCAGAAAGAATCTAAAACATGTAAAAATCCTTTATGCATAAGATTAGTCATTATAACATTCTATATATTAACAAAAAGCATTAAATATCCTAAACATTTTTAAGCCGTAGGATTTTAGCATTCATGAAATGGAATATTATGCAATCATCCAAAACTCTACCAATGATGTAACATGGGAAAATATGGTAATAATGCTCAACCAAAAATTCAAAATTCAAAACTGCATACTCAAGAGAACCATAACTATGGAAGAAAAGCTCAGAGGAAAGCAAGTGGAAGGAGATATACCCAACCATCAACAGTTGCTATCTGTGGAAAATGGGACCATGCATGACTTCTCTTTTTCTTTTATCTTTTTGATTAAATTTTATTTAAGAAGAATTGATTTAAAAAAAAGAATTACACATATCTCAAGTAAAAAGAACAAACCTCAGAAGTTTTTCTGAGCACTGTAAATGGCAGCATGTAGTGAGGCATTTCAATTTCAGGTGCCCCTTTAAGGCACACACTGGGCAAATTTTCTGAAAGAACATCCTTTATACCTTTCATCAGGCAGGTCACTTAGTCCTGTGGCCAAGTGAACACCACCTCCAAGGACCTACAGCTGCTCCATAGACTCTAAGGTCTTTGAGGGTGATGGTATGATTCCTTCTCTTTCTCTACCCCCAGCACACACTAAAGCTGGCACAGTCTGGTGCTTGGCAAGATGCATTGCTGCCTGCCCTTACAGGTCTCCCTGTGCTGTGCGTAGACCCAGATATCAGCATCAAAGTCCTACCTTTGCCCATTAGTATCTGGTGGGGTGTATCCAGCATGGCTTCCAGGAACCATTTTTTTTTTTTTAAATCCCAAACCCTTGTAACCATTCTGTTAATTTTCTCTTATGCTTTCCTTCACCTTTGCAAATAGTCTCTTTAGGAAATCCTCCATGAATAATCTGCATTCAAGTGTGTCCCCTCTTTCTCACCAGGATCCTGACTGACACAGAACTTAACTGAAACACAATGTCCATCAGTGTCATATGGGAAGAGAGGCACAAAGCACATTAGAGGAAGTGCTATGTCCCCGAGCCTGGTGATGTCTATGGTGTGCTCCACCCCAGTGTCCTGGAGAGCTGAGATCTGGGGCACAAAGACCCACATTCATATTCGAGTCCTACCCTTCTCTGAGCCATGAGACCCTCCTCATAGTCTTCATCCTCTCAAGTCTTGCCTTCCTCATTGGCAAAATGGGGTTAGAACATCCCATCCCATCGGTATCCTGAGACGCCTAAACTTTTTAGCCTGGGACTTGGCATGGAATAAAGTCCCAGCAAATACAAGTTCTGCTGTCATCACTATTAACCATGCAGTGTCAGACTTATGAATGCAGATGTCCCCAGAAGACCACCACCTCTGGATACTTTATTGCAGTTCAGGAGGGTACAAATCCTCCACATCCCCTCTCCCACCCTTGGGGAGGGAGGGACTTCAGAAAAGGCCTCCTCTACCCAGAACTAGGCACCGCATTATTCCCATTCTGGTAGGTTCCTTCGTGAATGGAGAGCAGGTTATTCATGAAGCAAGACGAGGGCAGGAAAACCAGCAGGAGATAAAGTGCATTTTGAGAAAATCACTTGTTTATTTAAATATTGTACTTATGAAAAAATCCCAGAATGAGAAACACGAGCATTTGTGATAATAATCAAAAAGGAGGAAAAAAAAGAAAGAAAATACATGATCAGAAACATAAGAGTTTGAAGATATTTGAAACAAAAAATATGCATCTTTAAAATATTAATATTTCAAAATATCCATATTTCAACCACAGAATGAGCCTTTCTTTTAAATGCTCTTTGAAAACACCTCCCCACACTCTCTTTGTCTCCTTTCTTTAGAAGGCATCTTCTCTTTAACTCCCTTTGGGAAACTTCTTATAAATGAGGATTTGCATCTCAAGGGATTACTCTGGTTAGGAAAGTGTTTTATTAAAAAATATATGTTTGCCACAGAATGCTGAGCGATATAATTAGCTGGTCCCTTCTGTTTTATTTTAAAAGGCTGTATGGCCAAGTTCTAATTAAACATATTCTCAGGGCGTTTGAAATGTGAAGGTGCCTCAGAATTGGGCACTAAGATGAAAGAAGCAAAGACATAGGGGATGTGAGCCAGAAAGAAGGATCTCTGGCCACAGGGCGCCCAGCAGTACAGCCTCATTTCTGTTTCTGTGCGCACAGATCCACAAGCCCGGCCCACTGTATCTCTGGTGGGATGCTGCCCTGTGTTCTGGGAGGTCACACACAGAATGAGCTGATCTTGTTCCATCTAAGGCAATCCAGCGAGGCTGGCAGTATCCCTGGCTGGCATCCTGGGAAGAAGGGCGTGTAGTAGGTTATCAACTTTACAGGAGAACTGCTAAGATCCCTGCCAGTTCTCACAATTCTGATTGTACATTTGGATGTATGCTTTTTCCTAGTTTTTGCCATACAGCCTAAACGACATTCTAAATGATCAGACTTCATGTATTTTGTGAACTCAGGAATAAATGACAAGGTGATAGAATCTTGCTCTTGATCACATTATATAAACCCGGCCTGGCTCAACCAAGAGAAGCAGAGTCGTGGCCTCATTTGTAAAATGGACAGAATTATGCTTACCTGTAGCTCCTTAGGAGGAGCCAATGACCTGCAATGGAATACTCTGTTTCCAATGAAGAGTCCACAAGAGTTAAGAGTTTAGAAATACCTCCTTGGAATCCTCCCACCTTGGCACCCTGCAGAGCACCCTCACTTTTTACAATGCACTTTCATATCCATTAGAACCTCTTTAGGAGTATGCAGAACTTGGCATTCATTGCTGGTGAGAATACAAAATGGTACAGCGGCTTTAGAAAACCATTTGGCAGCTTCATATAGAGTCAAGCAGACTTTTTCCATATGACCCTGTTTTTGAGACCTGAGAGAAATGAAAACTTAGTTTCACACAAAACCTGCATGTCCAGACACACAGCACCCTTATTCACCATCACTCTAAACTAGAAACAACCCAAATGCCCTTTGACTGATGAATGGTCAAAAGATCTATACATTCATACAAAGAAATACTTCTCTGTAACAAGAAGAAATAGCTTCTTGATACGCACAACATGAATAAATCTCAAATGCATTATATTGAGTGATAAAAACCAGATTTGAAAGGTGATATATTGTGTGATTTTATTTATGCCACATCCTGAAGGATCTTCACAACCATGGGGGAAGAAGAATTGGTGTCTCAGATCCATGGTTCAGTGGTTCCTAGTGTGGGGGAGTAGGAGTCAGGGTAAGTGGTGGGTAGAGGACTACAAAAGGGAGCACAAGCAAATTTCTAAGGGGCGGGGTAATGGATTATCCCCAGTCTTGATTACAGTGACCACATGACTCTTCTGCATCTGTCAGAATTCAGAGAACTACACACCAAAAGAGTGAATTTTACTCTATATAAATTAAAAAATAATTTAAAAAAAAGACCCTTCCAGGTTGGTAGAAAATGTAGCAGCTGTTGGAAGTTTACTCCTCCGTCCCACTCCAATATTCATTCTATCAACTAGGAAGGTTCAGGAAACTTGTCAGGGACTTGCATTCTTTTCTTGGTGGTGGGAAAGAAGAGGGCCCTAAAAACTAAAAGGACGTAGATTATATGAGTTGATGAAAAGTTTAATTGATTAATGAATATTCTGGATGGGGACAGATAAAGGGGTCCCACTTACCACCTGTGGCCATCTTGAAATCATGAGATGAGACAGCCAAGTATGAGATGATGCTAAAAACAGAGGGAATATAGTCAGAGGGTAAGAAAACTGGTTTAAGTTGAGCCTGAATCTACCACTGGACAATGTCCTCATGACTGTGTGAGTAGGATCCATATTATTTTCAGACTAAAGCATCCTGGAAAGGTAATCAAGGATCTCACTATTATATTTTTCCTTTTTTGGGGATACCATGGATTGAACCCAGGGGCACTTAACCACAAAGTAACATCCCCAGTGAGCCCCCCAACTTTTGTTAAATATTTTGAGACAGGGTCTTGCTCATTTGTTTAGGGCCTCACTAAGTGCTGAGGCTGGATTTGAACTTTAAATCCTCCTGTCTCAGTCTCCCAAGCCTCTAGGATTACAGGTGTGAGCCATTGTGTTGGCAACTGAAATATTTCTATGTGATCCACAGTCCCAAACCAACTTGAAACAAACCAGGTGATAAAGAACTTGAGTGAAATAAAATCTGAAACATATATTCAATGGAAAATGGGAAAAGGACTCAAAAACATGCCTCACCTGCTCAGGACCAAAAACATATAAACAGGTGCTCAAATACACTACGAATCATGGAAAGCAAATTATACAGAGAGCAACCACAGCCACCAGATTAGGAAATAATTTTTAAAAAGAGGAAAAACACAGCTAAAAATACCATATGGTGATAAGGATGTAGAACAATGAGAACATTTAAAACACTTTGGAAGATAGTAGTGTAGAGTTGCATGGCTCTGTGACCAAGCATTCCCACTTTCACAGGGGCATTTTAAAAATAAGAGCTCAAAAACTGGAAATAAAGAGAAACCGAACATATTTTTGAAAGTGAACTAGCCACACACATCCACATAGTTAAGTCTCACAAACAAGGCCAAGTAAAAGAAACAAGACACAAAATGATTCATCCAATGTGATTTCATTTATGAACACACAAAAGAATGAATTCCTCAGTGTTAAAACCATGAAGCAATGCAAGACAGCAGTCACTCCAAACCTCAGGACAGAGGAGTGGCCTCCAGGAGTGGGGATTGGCATTGGGAGGCGTCAGAGAGACTTTGGGTAATTGAGTGTTGACCCTCTGCCCTTATTTAAATCATATATCTATGATTTACATAGTCTTCTATATCTTTTATGTATTGCACACATAGAAACATAGGAAATCAGAAACCAGATTCCTGGAGCCAGGAATGTGTAACTAATGACTAGGTGATGAATCTTTAGAGGTTTTGGCTCCAAAGAGGGTCTACTCCAGTGCGTCTATATTATGGTCTCAAGTCTTGCTTCCCTTCATTATCATTTCCTGCAGCCGGAGACCTTTTAAAGGTGTTTGCTTTTAAGTAAAAGTTGCATCCTTTTAAAGGTATCCATTCTTTCTCATAAGCGTAACGAGTATTAATCTTACAGAGTGCCCCTACTGATTTATTATATGGCTTAGATCAGACATATTTTTTATATGCACCTACAGAGACTTAAGGTGAGCTCTTTTATTCAATTGTGCCTTATTTGCCTGGAAATCTTTCATCTGAAAAAAATCATCAGAGGCAGAAATCTAGGGAACCACACCCAATGCCTCTTGAATAAGTAAAATGCATGCTGTAGGGTCTGAGCATCAACTTCATGCAGTTTCCTTGTAGAAAACTCCTTCCTGCTCTTATTCAAGCCTATTAATGTGACTCTTATTGTACATACAAATCTAACATACTCAGACAGTATCCCAAAAATACATCAGTTTAGAAAGGTAAAAAGTGAAGGAGAAGGGGCCAGAGTGAGTGACAGTAAAGAAGCTGACATTATGTTAAAAGGCAAACTAAAAAAAAAGAAAAAAGAAAAAGAAAAAGAAAAATCTCAACTCAAACTTTCCCAGGATTTTTGGAGGCATTTACCGTAGGGATAGCAATGAAATGTTAGTTTAGAGAGTTACTAAACCCTTTCTCAAAAAAATCAGATACATGTGTAACACATAATAAATTGATAAGTTTCGTGAAACTTACCATTCAGGAGGGGCAATTTTATACCCACTTTCCTGTAAAGAAATCATTCTGTGAGAATGCTAGAGAAGTTCATCTAAATCCACATCTCTGCAAGCACAGATACAAACACATGCACATAACTATATGTATGTGTAAACACATGTGCAGAGGAAAGTATGTATCCCTATCGTGTGTGTGTGTGTGTGTGTGTGTGTGTGTGTGTGTGTGTGTGGTCTGGATCCCGTTAAAGAATTCAGGATTTGGATGGAATTCACCCTGATAGCTGAACAATTATGGGAACAGTTGCATCCTCAGAACAAAATGACCTTTTCAAGTTCCAAAACATTAAAGGTTAAAGAATGTTTGAAAGGAAGTTAATACTTTTAAAACATTGGGGAAATCGCCATCCTCTCCAGGACCTGACCAAAATGAGGGGAAAGTGCCCATGGTCTTTATGAGCTTATGCAGGGAGGTGTGACATAGTTAAGTCTCACAAACAATGCAAAGTAAAAGAAACAAGGCACAAAACCTTGCCTGCTTCTGCTCAAAGCCATGAATGAAACTACCTCCTTAGCAAAGAGAGACGCTCGCTGGCTTGTGATGGGCCCAGCACGGGAGCTCAGGAAAGAAACCCTTTTCAGGTGGGTTCCTAATTGCAATTTTGAAGTCACATTTCTTTCTCTCACGAGTAGTAATGGCAAAGAGAGCAAATCAATGTGTGTGTCAGATTTTTCCAGCTTCTACTTTCCATCTGACCTGGATGGTGCAAATTCCAGTCACTACTAACAGGGAAAATAGAAATATCAGTGTGGCTCCTTACCATACCCCTTCCTCTAATGAGCTCACAGAAAGGTCTGGAAGAATCCATCTTATCAATCCTGTAAATGCCCACTCTTCCCAGGAAGTCAGGAGGCCTGTGCCCTGCCTTCACCAACTCTCCCCACCCCACACTTTTTTTTTTTTGCCCCATTCCAAGCACCTGCTTGCATTCTAAGGTATACACCCAGCCTCACTGTACCTGTAAGCCTTTGTCTTCAGGAAGGCCTGATTCTGTGGCTGCTCTTTTCACCTGGGCTTTAGAGAGTCAAATAGTGTGTACCAAGCCTTCAACCGAGGCTCAGCATACATCATCTTAGGTCACCATCCCAGATAAGCAACCCAGGTAAACTTCTTTCCAGGTAAGATACTGGGAAGTAGCTTCTACCTGGACTTGCCCACTGACACTCCTAGTACACCAGTGCCTCTTATGTGGTGTGACCCAAAGCTCCCAGTATGTAGCCACAGGTAGCAGATATTTCAAAAGGCATCTCCAACTTTGATCACCTCCTTCCTCATTGAGTCTCTGTTGTTTCAGATGGAGAGAGTTGTCCTGTTTTAAAGATGGGGTACAAAAGGTGGGGAAGACTTGCTCAGTTACTTGGTGAGTTATGGCCACACACCCAGGCCTTCCACCACTACAAGCAAAGCCTGCATTCACCTGCAATGTACAGCTGCACACGACACATATAAACATGCAGAGCAGACCCACTGTGTGCATGATCCTTCTGTATTGCTCATTGGTACCTACTTCATGTCTCATTTATTCCCTAATTCATTATGCATAGTTCAGTTGCAGTAGCTCAGGCCAGCCAGGTCTCTGCTTTCCCATCTTTCCCACCTGGCTTTTTGTCTCTCCACATGCCCCAAGAGGGAGGAGGAGCAAGCACATTTGCATTTCTGATTTGTGGACCTGCTTGACAAATTTCACTACTGGTGGAGGATTCTGATCCCTTTGCAAGTCTCAGATTTTTCTAGGCCAACAGGTGAGGCCTGAGGAAGAGAAGAGGATCTGTGGGCTTCCAAAGAAGGCCTTCCTGCCACATAATATATATCTACTCCGTTGGACAGGAAGAGGCTTCCTCCCTTCACAAGACTTCTCCTAAAAGGAACCCTAGTCCCAGGCACTCGAGTACGCTGCAAATGAAGATTCTTTAAGGAAGCAGGGAGGCCCCTTTGGTACTTAAACTTATCTCTGCCATCAGTTATTTTCTGAGTGCATTCCCATAAAGCCTAGGCCCAAAGCCTCTCAAAAAAACCCCAAATGATGCAAAAAGTCTTGCTAAGAATTAAATTCCTTAACTGGGCAATCTACTTCTAAGTTACTGATGATACCTGCAAGGCACTCAAAAAAGAAAATGATTCTATCTCGAATTTGTATCAATACCTACTATTTTTTTGCTATTTATATAGCACTGAGTTAGCCTGGGGCTAGGTTCTGAGAGGCCTAGGTCTCCCTGGCTAACAGGCAGGGAGGACAGCTGGCGATGACTCACTTATGCTGAGCATGTCTGAGGAAGAAATGCCTAGAGGGGACTCAGACCACTACCTAAAGACCCTTTTGACTGGTAAGTGGGTTAGAGATCATGTACTCTCCCAGGCAGGAAACTGAGATCCAACTCTAAGTACTACAGAGATGGAGAAGAAACAAAGTGCTCACCAGTAAACAGCAGAGAAGTGAGACACAATGCACTTCTAAAAACTCCATTTAAAAAATTAGCCTGGGATGGGTGAAGGGGTGGGAGAAGGAAGAGATGCTCCAGCAGATAAGAGATGTCCAGCGGACCTTGGATCCATTGCAAAAGTCCCTGTTGAGTCAGAACTCCCAGGTGGAGCCAGGTCAGGAGGCCAGCTTGCCAGGGGCCAGTGGAGTGGAGTTCTCCTGGGCCACCAGAGGCAGCACCATCCCAGAGCCAGTTCCCTTGATGTGCTTTGATTTTCCCTTGATTCCTTCTGGCTGTTTTTCTACATCCTAACCAAGACTGCACTCTTGACCCTCTGTGCACACTCACATAGGGGCTGCCTTTTAGGCCTCGGCACTTCCTCCAAGAAGTAGTTTACTCAGGGGAGAAGCTCTACCTGTGAGGGTCAGGGTCAGCATTCTGACACTGCCTGCTCTGGTGTATTCCAGGAGTCACATTTTGCTGCTCCAGGCCCTGTACAGCCTCTGGAGAGTCCCAAACGAGTTTCAGAGCTGGGGTGCAAGGCCTGCATGTGTGCAATCCTCCACTTGGTGCAAGTTGGATATATCTGTTTCAAAATTTCAGTCCTGGAGGGGCTTGGGGGAGTCTTGTTGAGCTCTAGGATGGGCAAGGGTCTTGTCATGAAGCTAAGTCAACACAGCAATTAGACTCCTGTAACTTAAAAGCTAGGTTTGTTCTGGGATCTTACATAAAGGCACTTTGGGGAATCTAAACCCTTTCCTAGGGTCACCACCTGCTTCTGCAATCCATCAACACATTTAAGTGCAAGA